TATTTTAATTTAAAAAAAAAATCACCAGATTTAGTATATTGCAATATATCAACCTTCTCTTTAGTTCTTATTTTTTGTTAGCTTTTTTAAAAAAGAAATTTTCCTCCATGAAGGTCATAAAGATATTTTTCTATGCTAACTTTCATAAAAGTTTTTTGATATAGGTCTATAATGCAAACAGAATTGACTTTGAACATAGTATGAAATAAGGGTCAAAATTGTTTCTTTCCCACAGGAGTATTCAAGTGACCAGGCATGCTGCAGTGAGAAGGCCATTCTTCTCCACTGTTTTGCAATGCTGCAATGAATATTTTGAGGTTATGTTATTGAATGTAGCACCTTTGGAATTGTTTATCATTGTGTGGTTGAACTTTTTGGCCTTAAAGTTGATATAACCAGAGCTTCTCCAGTCGTTTCAAGTTTCTTTCAGTCTGTGTTTTATTGTTGTTGTTGTTGTTGTTTTACTATCATTTTTAGCATTTTTGAATCATGATTTTTTTGTTGTTAGAGTATTAACAATATGCAGCAGAATTTGAGTCCATTGAATCCAATGGCATACTCTCATTTCTAACCCTGAGTGATAACCACTTAATATGAAATAAATATTTTGGACTAAAATTTTAGCTGCTGTCTTACATTAAACATTGATGTTGCTCCTCTTCCCTTATTTTTAGTTGACAGATTTTTGTTGTTGTTGCTTTGTTTTTTGGGGGGTTTTCTTTTTTTCTTCTTTTCCTTCTTTTTTTTTTTTAGTACCAGGGATAGAACCCAGGGTTTCTTAACCACTGACCCACTCCTTTTTTTTATATATATATTTTATTTAGAGACAGAGTCTCAATATGTTGTTTAGGTTCTCACTAAGTAGCTGAGGCTAGATTTGAACTCTCAATCCTCCTGTCTCAGCCTACTGAAGCACTGGAACTGCAGGCATGTATCACTGTGCCCAGCAGAGGTTTTGAGTCTCACTATGCTACTCCACCATCCAGGGTGGTTTTAAACTCCCAAGCTCAAGCAATCCCCCCTGCCTCAGGATCCTAAATACCTGAGACTAAATAAAGGAATGCATCACACTCAGCTTGATGGAGGTGTTTTTAAAATCACATTCCTCAAACACTTAAATTTTAGAGTTAAAGATGATTTCTATTATTTTGTTCTTGGTATAGTTTTTTAAATGCAAACATAAAGTCTAATATTAATCCATTCCTCTATTCTTTTCCTAACAAATTAAAGGTCTTAGAACACTCTAAATTAAATTGTCCCCTACTATAATCTTATTGCTACCAATATTTCTGATTTTTTTCTTAAGTTAAGTGAGAGTATTATTATTTCTTCAAACAATGATTATTCAGGCTCATGCCTGCTCTCAATTTTTATTTGTTCAATTTTTCTTGTACCTTATGTTTTCCTCTAGGAAGTTTTTCAAATGAAGATCTATTGGTTCTAAACTGAGAATTTTGTCTGTCTACAAATGTCCTTATTTCACAGTCATTCTCAAATAATAATCAAGCTGTGTATATGCCCTTACATTTGAGAGTCATTTTTCTTTCAAAAAATTGAAAATATTTTTCCATTGTCCTCAGGCTTCTGCTTTTGTTATTTAAAAGCCAGCTGTTCAATTTATGTTATTCTTTTGTAGAAAAATTGCTTTTTCTCAATGGCTACTTCTACTAAGATCTTCTCTGTGACTTTGGGATATTGCAATTTTACCACTATTTCTAGGTGTATGTATCTTTATTTGTATAATCAGTTATTAAAATAGTCAAAAATTCTGCCAGGTGTGGTGGCACACGCCTATAATCCCAGCGGCTTGTGAGGCTGAGGCAGGAGGATCATGAGTTCAAAGCCAGCCTCAGCAAAATTGAGGCAATAAGCAACTCAAGAGAGACCCTGTTTCTAAACAAAATACAAAATAGATCTGCGGATGTGGATCAGTGGTGGAGTGCACCTGAGTTCAATCCCCAGTACCGCACCCGCCAAAATTCTTCTACTCCTTGCATCCAAATTTAGTAGTATGATTTTGCTTACCACCACTTCAAGACAGATTGTCTATTTCTTTACCCTTTGACTCTGTATTTGAAATATATGACTTTATTTGAACAATAAAATGTTAGTATATGCAATCAAATAAACAGCCTTGAAAAGTACCAGCACATTAGGGCTTGCTTTCTTCTTATTCTTTCAATCTCAAGGCTGCCATGTGAGTAATCCTGAGTTAGGCCACTGGAGAATGAGAGGCCATGTAGGGAGAACTGAGGAGCACCAGACAACAGCCAGCCTACTGCCAGAGATGCAAAGAGTCCCTAGATCATCCTGCCACCCACTGATGTGCCAGCTGACCACAGACCCTTGAGAGCATCCAGCAAGTATCTGCTTAGACAAACCAGACCAGAAAAATCATCTAACCAAAGCACAGAATTAGAAGCTAAGCAAAGTGGTAGTTCTTTAAGCATCTGTTTTCTAAGCCACTTGATAAGCAGCAACAGATAACATACAACTTGATTTCATTTTATTTCCTATAATGAGAATTGATTTATTAACAATTATACTCATAATATAACCTGTTTTTCTTTATCATCATCTGGAATTTTAATATATATGTAATATGAATACATATTTATTATACATGAAATATATAATACACACATACATACATATATACACATTAAACAGATGTGTAAAATTTTTATAAACGATTTTTCTACATTTAACCTCTTTCCTATTCTCTTGTCTTTTACACTGCACCACTATTGGGGTAATAACCTTTATAATACTTTTCATTTCATGAATGCCCTCCCTACTTAAGTCTAATCTGTAATTTAGCAGTTTCACTGAGATATTTTGGGGGGTTTTGTTTGTTTGTTCATTTGTTTTGTTTTGTTTTGGGGGGGTTTGGTTTGTGTTTGTTTGTTTTGCTTTGATGACTATAGTGTTCTTTTCTAAAAGTGCTTTTCAGTTCAACTATTCTTGGTCATATTTATCATCTCTAGTCATCATATGTTCTTCAATTTACTGTTTTGTTTCTTTAAACATTTTAAACATATGCATTTAAAAAATTCTTTGCCTACTAATCCCAATTTCTGCAGCCCTTGAAGGGCTAATTGAGCAATCACTGTCACTCATAATGGCTTACAAACTCATCTTTATGGACCTAATCTGTGGGCACCTTATGAGATCGCATTGAAAGTGACATTTTCCAAAGCCTTTTCTAATCAGGAATTTCCAGGTACCAACAATCCAAGACCACTCTAAGACAGCTGATTAAGCTTCATAGATCAGGTTAATCTAGGGGTCAAGCCTACGTAAAGATAGGGCCAAGGTTCAGTTTTCAAAGAAGTGTTATTCTTTCTTATCTGGAGTTGAGATGGAGTCAGGCTAGTTATTGAATGACTTCCCTTTGCTATATAGTAAGCTTTCTCTGCCTACCCTATCAATGGAGGTATAGTTTTCAAGGTTCTAGATTTAGACCAGAAGTTTCCATACACATCCCAAACATGCATGGACTCTAAGACCTTTCATGAGAAAGGTCCACACAGGTTGTTGAAATTTAAGGCTCTGAAATTTTCCTACATTGCTAATGGAAATGCAAAATGATTTAGGTACTTTGTAAAAATAGTATGTCACTTTCTTATGAAGTTAAACATGTACTTAATATATGACTCAGCCATCCCAGACCTACATATTTACCTTAAAACTTTTGCTCACACAAAAACTTGTATGCAAATGGTTATAGCAGTGTTATTTATTATTGCTCCAAATTAAAAACAGCCCAAATCCACCAACTGAGGAATGAATAAACTGTGTTTACAATAGAATTGAAACACTGCTCAGCAATAGAAAAGAACAAACCACCTATACACACAAGACCCAACATACATACTTACATAATTACATATATAAATGATTTCATTTATGTAACATTCTAGAAAAGGCAAACTTCAGGATCATAAAACAAATCAGTGGTTGCTACAGGCTTAAATTTGAATACAAAGGGCATATGGAAATTTTGGGAGGTGATGGGATGCTTCTTCATCTTGATTCTAATAGTGATTATGAGAATACAGGTTTTCCAAGGCTCATAAGACTAGGTATTTAAAGGCGCAAATTTTACTGTATGTAAATTATAGCCTAAATTTTTAAAAAAGGAAAAGGAAACATCTCATCCTCTAAGTTTCTAGTATTGGTGGACACCCTTCTGGTTTTCTTTCTCTTCAATATATTTGGTCCCTAAAAGATTTTCCTTCTTACAAGTGCAATAATGAGTTTTAAAAGATTTCTGTTGTATTTTATCCAGACTTACAAGAATTTTGAATCAAGAGGATTTTTAGATTATATCTGGTCTACCATATTGCCAGAGGCAAAAGTCTGTCATTCTTTTAAAGAACAAGACTATCTTACAATTTCACAGTGTTTTCAATTCATTTTATCGCCATATCCTTGTGTCTTCTTGAAGTACAATAATGCATTATTGTAAAACCCTCTCGACAGGCAAGAAAAACAAAGCTCAAAGAAGCTGAGATTGGGTCCTATTTTAAATATATAGATAGAGAGAGATTTCTATCCCTAACTGAATTAACATTATCTTATTGGTTCTACAACCAATTCAAAGATTATCATATTACTTTAAGTCCCCCAAATCAGGCAGTTAAGACACATTCTAAGGATCAGCTACATTCTGGATCACCCATGCCTGAACATGCCTAGTGCAGTAAGCTGTGTGACCCTTGGACATGTCACTTAGCTCTCTGCCTGGTTGCAAGCTATCTACTTTATAAAGTCATTGTGACAATGAGATGAGTTAATTCATGTCACACAATAGAAAAGCATGTGGCATACAGTAAGTGTTCAATTATCATCAATAATTATGCCATGTCCTTCCCAGTAATGTAATCAATACACATCTCCAGCAACATTGAGAATTAAGCATCATATGTGTTGTGTGTGTGTGTGTGTCTTTGTGTGTGTGTGTGTGTGTGTAAATAAAATAGAAAGTTAGTGCTTACTTTGAATAAGCCATGCTTTTGGTTTCGCTGACCAAGCCATAAATTGCTTCCTGGGGGAAGGTTGGTCTCTGGAGTGTCTATCACACGTTCATAAATCCTGCAGAGGCAAAGAACACAGTTACAATAGAGAGGCTGAAAGCAAAACCAAAAGGTGCACATGCTGTTTGAAGTCCTGCCGCATTAGCTGCTGGCATGGACAGATGGAGACACGATATGGTATGCTTGAAATGTGAATTTCAAGGAATGTGAATGCAGAGATCTGGACATATTATCTTGTCCACCCTACCTCCTGCCTTTTGATCATCTCCCTTTTGGCAGAGAAAGAAGAAGGCAACATTTTTGTCTACTGTGAGCAATGAAGTTGATACAAACCCCAAGAAAAGCAATTTTATTCAAATGATAAGGTGAAAACACTTAGGTTCTCAGAATGCAAACAGATCAACCAAGTGAAGACAGAAGGTAATAGTAAAATCAGGAAAATAATCCTCATCTCCCTGGCTCCAAAGCCCATGGACTTTCCATTGTACCCTACTGTTGCTGGGCTTGGTTTAGTTAGCTGTTACTCATTTTTATAGTAACCTGAGAGAAGCCCTTAACCCAGTGGGCTTCAGCTTCCCAGATGATCACATGCTTAGTCTACAAAATCCAGTAACTGAAGTCATTATCCAATCAAAAATCTTTATTGGCTGGGCATAGTGGCACATGCATGCAATTCCAGAAACTCAGGAGGCTGAAGCAGGAGCATTGCAAGTTCAGGACCAGCAGCTTAGCAAGACCCTGTCTCAAAATAAAAACCAAAAAATAAAAAGGGCAGAGAATATAGCTCAATGGTAAACTGTCCCTGGTTTGATCCCTGTACCATGCACACACCAAAAAAAGACAACTTTTTAGGTTCCACATTCCACACTAAGCAGCAAGAAAATAGAGCAGTAAAATTATAAAACCATAAGGTCCACCAGGCAAGGTGGTGCACACCTGTTATCCCAGCAGCTCAGGAGGCTGAGTTAGGAGGATTGAGAGTTCAAAGCCAGCCTCGCAAAAGTGAGGTGCTAAGCAACTCAGTGAGACCCTGTCTCTAAATCAAATACAAAATAGGGTTGGAGATGTGGCTCAGTGGTCAAGTGCTCGTGAGTTCCATCCCTGGTAACCACGCCCTCACCAAAAAAAAAAAAAAAAACCCACAAGTTCCAATCTCCATTCAACAAAAGGGAGGTTTTTCTTCACATTCTATAAGTGAAGAAAATCTTCATCTGATACATAATGGGCATATAACTAATGCAGAAGAGTCCACAACTCCAGGATCTTTGAAGATTCCTTCAGAGCCTGCCAAACCACTGATTGTCTGTTTTTCAGCCTCACCCAAGCCCAGTTAATCAGTCACAAATTCTTATATTTGTTCTCTCTTTAGAAATGGTTACTGCAATCACCAGCTGATGACAAGTCTCCAGCTCATTTCTGGCAAATACCTCTCCACACCTCAAGCTCAGAGGATTCCCAGGGAAGATGAACTGTCAATCTCAGTTTCATGTGCAATCTCAGTTCCTGCCTGTTCCTGCTTTCCTCAGTCTCTTCACAGAGCAGCTGCAGAGAGTTCATTCCTCAGGTGTGTCCAGAGGTCAGGGTGATTAACCCATGTTTCCTGCTGTGAGAGAGCTGATGGCCTCCTGCCAGAGGGTGATGTATTCCTCCAGTGACTCTCAGAAGGAAAGTGTGGTGGAACACAAGATCCTGCAGTTGTGTGAAGCAAAATGAATGATCGCAAGACTGGAGCAGTTGGGAGCTGCCTGACACTCGGCAGCCTTATATCTTAGCTTCATAGCCCATTACTCTACTATCCCCTGGAAACCAACAATATCTGGAAAGTATTGTCAGGAATATGAAATGCATCAGATCTTTCTCTACTAATTATCTTTCCATTATAAAATGAAACTCAAAATATAATTAAAGGAAAATGTTTCCCTTAAAAAGACAGTCTGTGTTTTCTTCACAGCAATCCAACCTTTCTTTGTTAGAATGAAACAATTTATCAAAACTGCTTTAACAAAAGGCCTTCTATATTCTTCCTCCTGAAAGGGACCCCCCCACATACACACAATACTAGTTAAAAAAAATTAGAAACAAGTCAAATTTACCACAAAAAAGAAATGCATAAGTCATAGTAGAACAGCTTGAAAGAATTTACTGCAATCATTAAGAGTGATAAATATGCAGGTTCTGAAAAATGGTAAACTATATTCAAAATAATTTTCACTGGAGAACATGGAATGCAAAATTATTTATGTACTATGGAGATAATGATGCAAAATTTATGTTCCATGTTGGTAAATATGAGAAAGGCCAGAGAGAAATAGAAATCACTGTATTTAGGAGAAGATGCAGAAACAATTTTCTATAAGGTTGTTTTACTAATAAATTGAAAATGTCAAACTATTTACCTTAACCTTCATTTTCAAACATTTGCCTCTCAGAGAGGAACTTTCAGTTTGAAATCTTTCTTTCTGGTGTTCAATATGCTAGAAGATGAGCTCCAACGAGCAGAGTAGGCCCTTAATCAATGTTTATTAAGTGCATGAGTGAATGAAGGACGGAACAATCTAAAAGATCAACTTCGTATCCTGCCTTGTCTTCTATAAGCATAATAGCTCCTTGTGCCTTAGAAATGGTTGGGGAAGCAAACATCTGAGGCCCACCACCAGCAGCTAGAGCAGAACAACCCATGACACATGCGTCAAGGTGGTGTTCCAATTTCCTCTGTCATACAGCCCCCACCAGGACCTCCTTCTCATGCCAAAAAAAAATTTAAAAATCTGCTTGATGCAGCCTTCCTCTAGCTCTGCCAGTTCTTTCCAAAAGGCAACTCTCACTAGAGGATTCCACAGAGCTGGGATAATCAACCAACTAGATATAGTTGCAGCAACAGAAAAAGAGTTTTAAAAACATGGTATTTTTTTTTTAAGTGGAGGCAATGTAATTGAGAGGAAACATCTGGCAAACCTATGTTGAATGACATTCCAGAAAGTAACTGCTTATCCTCTTAAACATATCAATGTCATGAAAAAGAAAGATGAAAGAACGGTTGCAAATTAAAAGAGTTCAAAGATTGGGCTGGGGATATGGCTCAAGCGGTAGCGCGCTCGCCTGGCATGCGTGCGGCCCAGGTTCAATCCTCAGCACCACATACAAACAAAGATGTTATGTCCACCGAGAACTAAAAAATAAATATTAAAAATAAAATTCTCTCTCTCCTCTCTCTCTTAAAAAAAAAAAGAGTTCAAAGATGCATAAGAGCTAAGTGTAAGATGGAATCCTGGATTGGATCCTGAGGCAGGAGAAAGAGTTCCATAAAGGACATTACTAGAAAAAAAACAGTGAAATTTAAATAAAATCTGTAGATATAATAATATTGTATTGACACTCAATTTCCTGATTTTAGTAACTAGGAAGTGTATATTTAAGTGACTTCTTATATAGTGTATATTTAAGTGTCTTCTTAGGAAACAGAAATTATGGTATGTAGGGGTAGAGGGTCTTGATGTTTGCAATTTATTCTCAAAGGGCTCAAAATAACAATGTGCATCTACATAAATACATATACATATAAATGCACATGCATTATTTTTTATGGAGAAAAAGACAAATCTGTATAAAGAATACATGATTACTCTTTGTATTGTTCTTGTGAATTTTCTGTGAAATTAAAATTATTTTAAAATAAGAAGTTTTAAAAATACGTTTTAAAAAGCCCCCCACAGGTCTATAACATGTAAACTAAAAGACACACATGCAAAACAGTATTATTATCTATCAGCCAAAGATACAGACAGGCTTGGGGATGTGACTCACAGATAGAGTACTTGTCTAGCATGCATGAGTCCTGAGTTCAATCCCTGGTACTGCAAACATTTTTTAAAAACAAAGATACACATGGTGTTTTTCTATCACATGGCTTCTGAGAATGGTGAGGCAGGGAAAAGTGAATGACATGAAACAAGGAAGGGGTACTGCTCAGACCAGTGCTGGTAAGATGCCATAAACTAATAAATAGGACTATCACATTCCTACATGTATGCCTACACAAGAGCAAGTCATGCTGTTCATCTGCTAGACAAATGCATTCTGAATCTTGACCAAAAATAGTCTGCTGATCCCTGAGGTACAGTCTGGGTGGACTGGCTCTTGTAAACAGGCATGTAGGGCACAGTGATGTGCCACATAAATTTGGTATCAACCCAGTCAGCTGAAATTAAAGATCAAAGCTACTATAGTAAACTCCTTGCTCTTCAGTCTGGTAAGGAATGGAGCCTTCTGATACACACCTATTCTGGCTGATGATGTTTCCTTAAAACCTGCAAACTTACCACCATTTCACCCAGCTATCCTACTCCTCAGTCTACACCCAAAGGATTTAAAATCAGCATACTATAGTTACACAGCCATGTCAATGTTTATAGCAGCACAATTCATAATAGTTAAACTGAGGAACCAACCTAGATGCCCTTCAATAGATGAATGGATAAAGAAACTGTGGTTTCTTTATCAACATTCAACCAAAGGCTGAATGTTCTGATAAGTGGATGCTGATCCATAATGGGGGGTACATTGAAAAAATGGAGGAATTTTGATGAGGCAAAGGGAAGGAAGGGGTGGGAAGCGGGTGTGAGGATAGGAAAGATGGTAGAATGAGATGGAATTATATTGATAGAAAAAAATCCATAAACTTCTGACTCCTATAACATACGTGCCACTATCCTGGCTATGGGGATTCACACAGGCAAATTTAAGATGGCCAAGTCCTAGCAGGGTGTGCTGGCTCATGCCTATAATCCCAGCAGCTCAGGAGGCTGAGGTAGGAGGATCAGGAGTTCAAAGCCAGTCTCAGCAATTTAGCAAGGTCCCAAGCAACTTAGCAAGACCCTATCTCAAAATAAAAAATAAAAAAGTGCTGGGGATGTTGCTCAGTGGTTAGGCACTCCTGAGTTCAATTCCTGGTACCAAAAAATAAGATTGCCAAAGTTCTTTCCTTCAGGGCCAATGCCTGAGACCAAGAGACATCATGAATGTATGCACCTTAATTTTCAATATATTATGTGCAATGCT